AGCCGCGGCGGGAGCGGGAGGGCTGCCTGTCCCGCTGCCGGCCTGCCTGAGCCCTCCCCTTCCCCCGCAGGGCCTGGAGCGCGTCATGCAGCAGTTGGCGGCGGAGGACGGCGAGGACGAGGAGGACGAAGGGCCCCCCGCCGGTGAGGAGGCTGCGGCGGGGACCGCCTGGTGGGACTTGGCCTTGGCTGCCGCGGCGCCCCGTCCTTTGGGGTTGCCAGGGCTGGGCTGGGCACCGCCGGGAGGCTTTTTTGGGGGGGCGGGGGGGCCCTCTCTGCAGGGGGTCCAGGCCACGGGGAGCCCCGCCCTCCAAGGCAGCCCTTTTCTCCCCCCCGGGGGGGGGGCTGATCTCTGCCAGCTGGGGATGAGCTGCAAAAGCCGGGCCCCACCTGGAAGCTGTGTCAAGACAGAAACACTCCGTGTATAAGTTACGACCAGAAGTAGAAAGAATATATTATCCAAATCAGTTTTAACAGTTCAAATACTTATCAAGTTCGACAGACACTCTCATATTTTCTTAAAGGGTTAGGATCCAACAGTACTTAATACAAAAGGGCATAAAACCCAAATAAAGTCCACTAATCCTTTGTATGAGACGCTTCAGGAGAACAAAAGTTCCACGTTTGTCGGAGTAGCAACTATGCACGGCTGGCCACAGTGCCGCGTTTGCCTCCCGCTTCTTCAGATAGGTGGTACTCTCTTAGCTGCAAAACTGAAAGTATATTCTATGCCATACCTGTTATTTATAACAAATTTTCCGTTTCCCCAGTTGTCAGAACGTACATACTTACTGAAATGACAATTTAACAAACCTCCTTAGACCAGTTTTCCAAACCCAGTCACCCCATCTCGAGGCTGGCAGCCCTAGAGCAGGTTGGGGGTGGAGCCCGTTGCCTCCCGTACCTGGCACCGGGGCTTTCCGATTTGAGCCCTCGGGATTAATCTTTGGTCACTTTGGAGATGTTTCCCCCCCAGGCAGGTGCTGAAAGAGGTAACGCCAAGTGATCCATGTTGCTGTCGTTCTCTGAGACCTGGGCTTGTGTTGCGGTCGCTCACTGGAGCACTCAGCTGCCCTGAAAGGAAGCAGGGATAGCGGGGCGAGGGGGTCGTGTGGTGCCCGTGCTCCTCACCCTTCGCCTTGTGCTTGGGAGCCCATTTGCCACTGGAGGAAGAACCTGGGGGCCTCTGCCACTGAGGTGGGCAGGGTGCAGTATCTGTGTCGTGGTGGGGACTGAGCAGAGAACACCATGTGCCCCCAATGCACCCTCCCGCCAGACCTTTCACAACGGTGCTTGTTTTTCTCCAGGAGGGCTGTCTACATGCCTCTCATGTGGCCACTTCTCCATCGTTGACGGAGAGGGCTGTTTTTACTGTGACGAGGATGAAGATGGTAGCTTCAGCTACGAGGACTGGGAGGCCTACAGTGAGCCCGAAGAGGAGAAGGCCCCAAGTGCGAGTGCGGATACATTCTGCGGCTTCAAGAAATCCTTCCTTTGCAACTCCTCTGTGCCCACTCCTCTGGCCACGAATGGTCAGGACTGCTCACTACTGAACTTTGCCCTGCCCCGAAAGCAGCAGCTGACGGCCGAGGTGAGCGGAGGAGGGACGGGCATCCAGCACAAGCTGTGTGTGCCCTTGGTGCCTTCCGTGGCAGCTCCTCCCTCCCTCTGTTCCACGGTGCCTCTCGGCACTGCCTGCCACTTCAGGTTCCCCTTTGCTGACGGGAACCGTGGGCCAGCTTCTGTGCTCTGCGCGTGGCCATCTGTGCTGCCTTTCCTTTGTGCCTGAAACGCTTCTGGACCCAGCAGCCCACCCTGCCAGAAATGTTGTCGCTGAGCCTGTCGCTGGACCCCTGTCTCTTCCCTCTCACTCTTTTCTCGGCCTTCCCCAGATCCTGGGGCGGGCAGAGGGGTACATCCGCTTCTTCTGGTGTATGGGCCCCTTCAAGCAGTGCATCTGCTTGGCTCACTGCTCCACACTCCCTTAGGAAGCCGAGAGGAATGCGGAAGAGCTCCTGGCAGAGGAGGAGCGGGCCAAGAGGAAGGCCGAGAAGAAGAGGCTGAAGAAGAAGGTAGACCCTTGGGAGTCTGCAGCACATGGGGGGGTGGGAGGGCCTCTCCTTGGACACCCTGGCCGTCACTAAGCAGCATCCTCATCTTTCTCCAGCGGCAAAAGGACAGGAAGAGGCAGGAGAAGCGAAACCAGGAATTAGAAGCAAAGAGCCAAGCTCAACCAGTGAGTGGCCGTTTTGTATGTGTGTGAATGCGCATACATGTCCAGGAAGTGTGACTCCATTTGTGAGTGGGACCAGTCTCTTCACTGTGCTGTAGGATGCCAGAACCTGCCTTTGTTTTGGGCTTGGCCCTGATAGGCCGGAGGCGTGACGGTTACCCTACACTCTCTTCGGGGGGTGGGAAAGCAGCAAGTGAGGGGCTGCTGTGGAACTATTTCCTTCCAGCCCCGTTCTGAGCGAGAGGCGACTGCTGCTGTGCGTCCCTCTGAGTCTGCGAAGCAGATGGCACAGCGTGGCCCACGGGCAGCCCTCTTTCTTTGCAGGATGAATCCTCAGGCGGGAAGCAGGGAGCCCCCGTAGCTGATGTTCCAAATGTGCCGGGGCCCGGGCCTCCAGAACGTGGCTCCTCCCAGGTCCCCAACGAGAGCCTGACCTCCCCAGGCTGCAGTACAGAGGAGGAGGTAGAGGTGAGTGTTCGCCACATGGAACACCCCCACCCCCCCAGTGGTGAGAGTTGTGTGTCAGCTATGCTCCCATAGCAGGTGGGGGGGGCAGATGAGGCTCAGTTCAGGTGGGGAGGGGAGATGGGACTCTTCCTCATGCCTCTGGTATTTTGTCTTTCGATTCCCACTCACCGTCTTATCTTGTAGCTCAGGCAAATGACCTTGGTGGTTTCTGCAGGCTTTGCTGAGAACCTTGACTCATTCGCTTTAGGTGCAATTTCTTGCTTTGCTTATGGGCTTACCTGCATCAGGGGGTTCAGTTCGAATTCTGTATATCTGTGCCTTTTTCACCCGGAACCCCAGTTCTAACACTGACCGTGTACCAGATTGACTTGCTTATACTGCTCAATAAACCTGATCCTAGTTAAGAAACGTTGTTGGGACTGTTTTTGGCAAGACTCTGACATTGTGGCCGATAGAAACGAGGGGTGGGCTGGAGGGAGGAGCCGGCAGCCAGAAATTCGGGGTGGGGGGGCAGGATTCAAGTTCTTGTGTTCTCAGAAGGGGTGCATCGTTGCCAGCACAGCAAAGGATAATTCCTTGTGTGACCCCCAGAGTCTCTGCAAGTGGCGGGGGGGGGGCTGTCATACAGATCAATAGGCAGAAATCCTTATTAGTTGAGTTCACCTTGATGGCTTCCCCTAAGGAGTCGTTTTTCTGGCTCCAGTGTAGCTGAAACGTTGGCTTCTCGTTGTGGGCGTGGCTGATCCCTGTCTAGCTTGCCCTCTCCGGTGCCGTGAAATACAGCCACTGTGCCCAGCCAGCCCGTTCCAACCTGGTGTGCGACTGAATGTGGGGCTCGCCCACCTCCGGGGCTGGAAAGGGCAGCTCTTTGCCTGCTCGGCGTGGGAATGATGCTTCTCCCTTCCCCTCCCCATCCCTCGCCCACAGGAGGAGCTTGATCTGACCAGCACGTTTGTCTCGAAAGCGCGCCTCAAAGTGAGCACCAGGCCCCCTCTGCCCAAAGAGAAGGCGGGGAAAGGGAGAACCGCCCAGCCGGAGAGGACAGAGCAGCCGGAGGTGAGCAAGGGGGCCTTGGCTCTAGCTGCTTCTCCCCCACCCCAGACTCCTCCTTCCCACATTACGCAGCTCTTCGGATCAGGGGGAAGGGGCCCGGCTGTCTCCATGCCCCCCCCGCCCCCCGTGACTGGTGATTGGCCACAAGTTTCCGGCAAGCAGGCAGCTTTTCAGGGCTCATTTCCAGAATGGGGATGCCGCTTTTAGGGTTTGGCCGAGGGTGGGGAGGTGAGCTGCAGACAGCATCGCCCTCTCGAAGTGTCCTTGCGCACTTCAGACTGGGCTTGTCTCAGGTCCAGAAAACTCCCCCCCCCAAGGAGCCCTGGCCGCCTGTGAAACTGGAGGGGGCGGGGGTCTTACATCTTCCTTTCCGTTTCAGGCTCCGAAGCCTGGGCTCCAGAAGTCTCCTGTTGAGCAAAGCATGGTTCTGGCAGGTGAGTGGGCCCGGGGGGGGGCACACACGCACACACACACACACACAAGAGCCTTCCCGCTCCCAAGCGGAGGGCCGCCCTGTGCTGTTGAACACTGAAAGATGCCTGGACCATTGGGGGGGGGGGTTTCTCCCTCGAGCCCTTTGATTGGATTTCTTTCTTGTTGCCTGATCCCTTCTGCCCCTGCCCTCCGCAGACTGTGGGAACGAGACTGCCCAGCGTGGAGGCTACTGGGAGGCCGTGCTGCTCTTCACGGAGGCCGTCAAGTTGAACCCCCGGGAGTACAGGTCAGGCTGGGTCGGGGGTGGGAAGGGGGCGGGGCCCCTCTTCTGGCCCCAGAGAATAGGGAAGGCAGCCTCTGTTTTCTTATTCCTCTTTGGGCCCTGGCTCAGAACTAAGTCCATCTTAATGGTTCCCACCGGCATTTGTTGAGAACATCAGGAGGTAAGAAAGAGTCTTGCTGGATCAGACCAGCAGTCCATCCATTCCAGCATCTCGTTTCATATGGTGGGTGTACAACTCACAGACGTGTATCTGTTTAACATAAGAACATCAGAGAAGCCAAATGTTGGATCAAGCCAATGGTCCATCCAGTCCAACATTCTGTGTCACACAGTGGCCAGATATACCAGGTGCCATCCGGAGGTCCACCAGCGGGGCCAGGAGGCTAGAAGCCCTCCCACTGCTGCCCCCCCCCCGAAGCACCAAGAATACGGAGCATCCCTTGCCCCAGACATAAGAACAAAAGACATGTGCTGATGTTAAGAACATAAGAGAAACCAATGTTGGATCAGTCCAACACTCTGTGTCACACAGTGGCCAAAAAATACCAGGTGCCATCAGGAGGTCCAGTAGTGGGGCCGGGACACTAGAAGCCCCCCCCACTGTTGCCCCCACCCCCCCAAGCACCAAGAATACACAGCATCACTTGCCCGAGCCTGAGAGTTCCTATCTATACCTTGTGGCTAATAACCCCTGATGGACTTCTCCTCCATATGTTTATCTAATTCCTTCTTGAAGCCGTCCATGCTTGTGGCCGCCATTACCTCCTGTGGCAGTGAATTCCATGTATTAATCAGTCTTTGGGTGAAGAAAGACTTCCTTTTGTCTGTTCTAGCTTGTCTGGGAGGGCCAAGAAAGAGGGCCTTAGGACCCACCAGCACTGACTGACTGTCTCTGAATTTGGATGTTCCCTTTAGTCACCATGGCTAGTAGCCACTGATGGATCTCTCCTTCATGAATCAGTCCAGTCCCTTCCACAGCCATCTACGTTTGTATCCGTCACTGCCTCCGTAATTTCGTTACTCGCTGAGTAAAAAGTATTTCCTTTTGTCTGTCATGATGAACCTGTTGCCCATCAGTTTCATTGGGGGGGGCCTGAGTTCTCGTGTCATGGCAGAAAGAGAAGGTTCTTCCCTCACTTCCTCCACGCCATGCATAATCGTACAAATCTTGTGGTGTAGTCCCCCCCCACCCCCTTTGCTCTTGTCTTTCCTAAACTGAAAAGCTCCAGCCTCCTTAGCCTTTCCTCATAGGAAAGGTGCCCTTTACTGCCTTGGTTGCTCTCTTCCATACTTTTCACAGTTCTGCAACATTCTGTTTTGGATAGGGCAACAAAAACTGCACACAAGAAGACTCCAAATAACTATTCCTTCACAGAAATCAGTGAGAACACCTGAATGTAAAAATACTCGAGCACTGGTCTTGGACATGGCTCCAAAGCATTTTTGTGCTGGTGTGCAACTCATTGGCTTTTATCTCTCACAGAACAGCAGGAAGTGTCTGTCAGAAGTCCCCACCTAATGGTGACTCCTCCTGTAGATATTGCTTCACCAGTCCCACAGTGCGCAGACCAAGGGTTTTAACTCAGCCTGGTGTGGCACACTGATGCCTTGTAGGCTCTTGTGGAAGTTTGGCTTCAGTTTCTCTACCAGTGTTGTAAGTTGGTTGGTCAGAAGTTCCGATTCGGTGGTAGCTTGTGGCTGCACCATGAGCACTTTTTTGTTTCCTTTACAAGCAGGGGGGATTTGATTTAAATCGTGATTTAAATCATGATTTAAACCACTAATTAGTAAGACTCAATTTATTTATTTATTTTATTTATTTATTTTTCGTACTTATACCCCGCCCTCCCCAGTGTGCTCAGGGCGGCTTACAGAGGCAAGAACAAATTCCCTTGGTAAAACAATATATACATAACAATTTAAAACATATGCTACATATTAAAATCTAATAACAAAGTGCTCAGTGCCATTCATAATCTGAAGATGGCGGATCAAGTGTCCAAAGTCCCAAGAAGACGGCAGAAGGATTCTTCCATAGTAGGTGTTTAATCGGGACCTCAGGGCGGTGGTGGTATAGTAGGGGTGGCGGCTCCTACTCGAAAGCCTGACGGAAGAACTCCGTCTTGCAGGCCCTGCGGAACTGCATAAGATCCCGCAGGGCCCTGATCTCCTCCAGGAGCTCATTCCACCAGGTAGGAGCCGCCACCGAAAAAGCCCTGGTCTTCGTAGCAGCTAGTTTGACATCCTTAGGGCCCGGGATGACTAATAAATTTTGGGCCCCTGACCGTAGTGCTCTTGGGGGAACATACGGGGAAAGGCGGTCCTTCAGGTAGGTTGGACCCTGGCCATGTAGGGCTTTATAGGTAACGACCTATAATTTAAATCATGGTTTTCTACATAAAGGCTCATTCTTGCTGGCCTTAATATTTGCAACCCAGATAAAGGTTTCATTGTAGTATAATAACTTCTCAGGTTAGTTTTAGTTATATCAGAAGATTAATGATTGGTTATTTACCACGTGAAATCGATAATTAGAAAAACATTGCAAGGTGAACGATCTCCAGTTTAATAGGTAATCATTCATATTTGGACAACTTTTCTGCTGTGCTTTATTGGAAAGAGAAAAATAATCATTAACAATAACTATTTAAATTGTTTTACTTAACTAAAACAGTAACATTGTACAGCATATGTATTCTTGTATTTGCTTAAACATCCATGAGGATACACTTACAAAGTTCTCAAGATTTCTGGAGTGCTCTACTCAAAGAGTTTCACTTTCATTTCTACTGCTTGCCCCTCCCTTCCCACACTTAGCTCCTAACATCTCCTCCTTATCCAAAAGTATTCCACCCCCAAACAATCTTGTATTCATTGAACTTCTTGAAACTTAGCACTTAAGATATAAGGGGCTGATTCTGTGTGCATAAATTTGGAGAGGACCAATAAGATTGAGGTCTGTTAACTGTATGTTTATTTTATAACATTTCTGCTGTGAAGAAGAGGCATGTGATCTCTGCAGACACAAATTCACAGTGTTGAGAACTGTAAAACCAAGCATCTGTGATAATATCCTCTGGACAGAAAAACTGTCCAATAGTCTTACAGAAACCTCTGGAAGACCATGACATTGTGAATGGATTAATGGAATTCATTTACAAAACAATTTAAACATTATGTTGTCGAAGGCTTTCACAGCCAGAGTTCATTAGCTGTTGTAGATTTTCCGGGTTGTATTGTTGTGGTCTTGGCATTGTAGGACCTGCCTTTTCGCCAGTAGCTTCCTGAGTAGATATAGATGACCTGCCTACCATTTTTCTTTTCACCTTGACACAGAGAGTCCTCCATCTTTCTGTCTTATACCTCTGAGGATGCCAGACACAGCTACTGGCGAAACGTCAGGTCCTACAGTGCCAA